GACAAGATCTTCGCTTAAACCCAAGGGTACATCTTGTGCAACTCCGCCTGGTCATGTATAACTATTATTTGTTTTCCAAGCTACATGACCAGTGTGTATCATAATAAAAAGGCCTGAAAGGCCGTCCTGTCCAGATTTCACAGGTAATCGAATTGGTTGGACTCAAACCACCACTACCCACGCCGCCCTAAATTCGACTTTCCTGGCCTTACGGACCGGGTTCTTAGGGGGGGTGGCAACCGGCAGTTGCAGGCGGGCCTGGTCCAAGGATTTTCAAGCGCCAACTTTGGCAATTTTTCGCGCTCAGAAGAATTGAAGAAAAAATCTAAAAAATTGAGATCTTGTAGATTAGGTTGTGATCCTTCCAGGAAAAATATCAAAAAAAATGAAAAAAGAAATATTTAGACCGTGAAATAAATGCTGCGCCGTTTCGTTGCATTTTCCGTTTTTGCCATTCTGGCACGTGTTGGCCAACGGGAAAAGTAAGTTCCGTGATTTTTTACGCTCAGAAGGATGACTCAATAACTCTGCAAATTGAAGGGCCTGTAGATTTGGTCGTGATCTTTCCACGAAAAATATTTAAAAAAAATTAAAAACATTTAAGATCGTGAAATAAATGCCATTCCAATTGGTCCTATATTCCATTTTAAGATCGTGAAATAAATGCCATTCCAATTGGTCCTATATTCCATTTTTGCTGCTCTATCACCTGTCGGCCAACGGGAAAAGTACCCCGACTTCAGCGATTTTTCATGTCTAAATTGGTTTAATACATTACTCCAAGAAGTCTGGAAATTCAAGGGTATGCGGATTTCGTCTTGATCTTTCTAGGAAAAATATTTTTAAAAATAAAAAACTCATTTCAACCGTGAAATTAATCGTGGGGGCAATTCGATGCATTTCCCAATTTTGCCACTCCGCCAGTTCCCCCCACTGTGTTACCGGTAGCCCTCATGGACCTGTGCTACCGGTCCCCCCTAATTTAAATCAGCGGGGTAGTGGTGGTATGTCAAGCACCAGTACACGGCTACCTGGGCTGCTGGCCTGACACCTTGAATTCTGGAGACGCAAAACGGAAAAGCGACCGCCGATCCAATATATCAACGGCAGGCCCAGCGTTTGACATTTCCGCGTCGTGTTCTTGTGGCGACAAGTTTTGGACTGCAAGGCTGGGGCTGTGTACTAGCGGTTTAAAAGAATTGGCCTTAAAAACAAAAATAAAAATAAAAAGAGTATGGTATGTCAAGCATTAAAGCATTTGAACGATAATGATGGGTTCATGTATTGTGAACATGAATCACAATGATCAGAGTAACAGAGTAAAACTGTTACATGCTGCACCTGCAACAGGCTGCACAGGCCATTTTCAGGCCCGTGTCGTTTTCAGCCCGAAAGCCTGAAAACAAGGGCCTACAGGCTGTGTGTCGTTTCAGCCTAAAACAGGGCCTTTCCGGCCCTGAGTCTTTTCAGCCTGAAACGGAGGGCCATTTTCAGGCCCTCATAAGACCGACCTGCCCTGAAACTCAGGCACCAGACCAGGGTTTTAGCTCAGGCCATTTTTGGCCTATTTTCAAGACAACCTTTGTTTGAGCTTCAACCCCAGGGTCTGGCACGTTTTGGCATTGGCAAGAGCAGCCTCCTGGACGGGCCAGCACTATATAAGACTGGCCCGCCCTGCAGGCTGCAGGTAGTTCCTAGGTACTTCCCAGGCACTTCACGTGCAGTTCAGGAGGCAGGAGGTAGTGTTCAGGATTCGGTAGCAGCACTCCGGAGGAGCGCTGCAGGAGTGGTAGTAGTGCTAGCAGTAGTCTTCAGCGCTGGGCGCTAGTAGCGTTAGCAGTAGTCTTCAGTGCTGGGTGCTATTAGGAGCTAGAGTAGTACTAGAGAGAGAGAGATTGGGCGGAGGCCAGGGAGACTTACCTGCAGCGCCATAGCTCCAGCTTCGCGTTCGAGGTACCTGCAGCACGGCGCCATCTTCACAGGTTAGTAACTGGCACATGAGAGAGAGAGAGTTCTTCTTCTTCCTCTTCTCAGTCCACCATCTCCCTCTCACCTTCTCGCTACCTGACTTCACTGCATCAGCGGACTATGAGAGAGCGGGCTTGGTGACATTTGGATCCGGACTCGACATTGGTCTTCAGACATTTGACGAGGGATTATCTGGGACTTGTAACGAAGACTTGGTGTTGACGACATTCCCATCTTCCCCCTTCTTCGTCTGCTCCCCTCCTCTTCGTCTGTGTATGGACTGGACCTGGTGCATTCTTCCTGTGTGTAGCGCCAGGCCCCTTCACACCTTGTGATGAGGATGACGTATGTTTGGTCTGTACAGCGACATTGATTGGGCTAGTCATTGGGATTCTAGCATTCTGCTGCGCTGTCTTGCACTACGTGAGAGAGGTCAGTCCCGGTCAGGTCAGGACTTGTATCCAAGTCTTCCACTGCGCTATAAAGCACCATTTTTGTGTGTATCAGGATTTACACTGCTTGTTGAGATTTCACTTGCACTGCATCGTCCATTCAGTTCTTTTTATCACATTGCGGATCCTCGGTTATTTATGTACATCGCCCAACTGGGCATGTAACAGAGAGAAAGAAAAAGAAAAGAAGGCGGAGAGGATAGACAGAGAACACACAGTAGCAGCAGCAGCAGCAGCAGAAGAAGAAGATGATGTCCCCGAACCCGGCGACGTTGTTAAAAAAATATACATGAAGCACGGATATGCCGACAACCGTTTACCACCCTGGGAATGACCCTACCAGTTTCACCTGGTCGCCTACGAGGATCGTCAGGGGTCTTAAAGCACCGGTTGAGCCCCTGTCTTAAAGCCCCTGTTGAGCCTCCTCTTCAAATTTTGAAGGCTCACGTCCATTAAATAAATTGATGGTGGGTGGCCTCCATAAAAGGGGCCCACGACCGATGGATGGCATGTACTAGTGGTTTACGTCGGTGCGACTGACACCGAGTGAAAGACTTGTATCCAGAATGTCCTCACCGAGTGAGCTAACCGGCCCGGTCTCGATTCAACCGCCGCATAGACGAGTAAGGACCGTCCATTAAATAGATCAACGGTGGGCGACCTCCATAAAAGGGGCCCACAACCGATTGGTGGCATGTACTGGTGGTTTGCGTTGGTGCGACTGACACCGAATGAAAGACTTGTATCCAAAATGTCCAGACCGAGTGAGCCAACCGGCTCGGTCTCAATTCAACCGCCGCATAGACGAGTAAGGAAAAAGCCGCGACATCCTACAAAATCCCAAAAAGGTCAGAAGCTCGAACACAGAGTAAAAAACTAGAAAACACTATAAAACACTAGAAAACATTGTGCTAGGCCCTTAATCTACCTTGGAAAAGGTGGACTCCACTATCTTCTTCATCCGAATGGAACACCCGGAAATTATGGCCGTACCGGAAAGTTGCAGCAAATAGAGCTATAATGACCAAGGGGGTTGACGGGAGGGTAGCGTAGCGGGGAAAGGGCAGCAGCACCATTCCCATGCAAGTTCCAAACCCGAGAAAAGACGAAAAAGTCTTAAACCACCAGTACCTTTCCCGTATATTGGCCGTGGGCAGTTTTGGAGGGCGGAAGTGAAAAACGGGCCGCCAATGAAATTTATCAACGGCGACCCTTTCCTTTTCTTTTTCTTTTTCTTTTTTTCGTTTTGTAAAGCTGCCTTCTCCTCTTCGGGGGACAGCCATATATTTTTCTCTCACCTCACATATTTTGAAACTGGCGTTCTGCCATGTCATGGAACATATCTTCCTTTCACTGCCTACCTACCGCGACTCCTAAGGCTATATACAGGGGACCCCTACCTCTCTCCAGTGAAGGGAGGTTACCTCTCTCGGTTCAGAGGGGTAACGGCATGTTTGCCCCTTTGCACTTTCCCATTTGGCTTCCGCATACTTTGAACAGGAATATATGGCCAGGTAATCTTAAGAAACTTCTTCTGTTCTGAACTAGAGTCGGTAATATATATATTTTACTATAATTCCCATATTTACGATCTCATCGAATGGGTCCCACATGTGTGTAAACAATCCACTAAATAATGAGCGAAAAGTTTCACAGAATCTTCGTCAAAACCATCACCCAGGAAATGACTCCATTTGGTCAAAAGAGTCCAAACCGGTGCCCATCCCTTACCCCCCCCCCCCCCACCCCCCAACAAATTTCCTTAGCAAGTCAACCAGAGCTTCATCAGAATATCCATCAGGACCCCTTTCTCCACAACCCCACTTCAAAGAAAAGCAAGAAGCGGGGGACCAAAATATTCATCAGGATACCAGAGTGGCCCAGGACCACTTGCCTGCGGGGCCAAAAATGAATTAAAAATAAAAATAAATAAATATCTCTAATTTTGGAGGTCGCAGGTTTGATTTCCACTGGCCTCATGTACCTACCTGGGCACACTTGGCGCCCACCATCTGGAGGTAGTCCCGTCGCCCCCCCCCAAAAAAAAAACCCTTTCTACACCCATCCCTTCCCCCTCCCCCTGGTAGCCCTGTTAGCAGACTGCAAAATCAATCATGCACGGCGGCAGTGAAGTCAATCTTGCACGGTGGCAGAATGCGATCTTATGAGCCCCCCCCCTCTAACAATTGTGAGGAACGCTGGACCTGGTTCCCGACTTGGGGAAAAGAAAAAGAAGGGAAAAAAAAAGGAAAAGAAAAAGAATGCGATCTAGTGCCGCAGCAGAAATCAACCAAGTGCTGCACGGGTAGCGGAGAGGACACCCACGATTGCCGTTGTTGTTTCCTTGGTTGCGGCGGTGTTGCGTAAATGGGCGTGATGTTGTGTGGCTTAGAGGGACATCGTGGTATGTGTGCAGCACTGCTTATGAAGTTGGGCTGGACTGCATAGTTTTTCTCTAGTTTCTGTTTTCTCTCTCCTCTTTTGTCTTCCTCGCCCCTTGGCCTCCCCCTGCCCTTACGTAAGCTTCACTAATTGTTAATTGTTTTTTGACTGTTTTCGTAATATAATGTGCGATTGTAGGAGAGGATCTGGTGGCCGAATTAGTGCGATGGGGGGAAATGGATATGCAGGTGGTGGCGGCGGTCGCATTGCCATAGACTGTCCGCAGCATGACAACGTGGTTATCACGGCTCAAGGTATGACATAGTCAATCCTGGGACTCGGCCTACTGGGACCTGGGGGGATTGGTACCATCTGGGACTGGGTGCGGCTGGGACTCTGGGACTGGTCCGTGCTTATCGATACTTTTCTTGTTTTATGGATGGTTTGTGACGATTTGTGGATGGATGGAGAGAGAGAGAGAGAGAGAGAATGGTTGGGTGAGCTGTGAAGTGCAGCACACAACAATGTTTATGGTGCTGGAAATGACTGTTCTATGGATGCAGAGTATTGTAGGACATCATGTGCAAATCTCCAGGTAGGATGTGATGAAGCATGTACTGGTTGAACTAGAAGCATTGGATGGAGAAGTTTAACATGTTCTGTCTGTTTATTTTATTTTATTTATTTTGTGCATGGTATCGAGTTCCGTGGCCCATGTTTTGGTTTAGGGTTTAGTTGGTTGTGAGTTGGGTGAACAACTTTTTGAGGTTTTTGTTGGACATATTGCTCTTCAGTGTTTGTCTTGTCCGGAGAGCCCTTCGACGGAGAACTGTGCCGTGTGCTGAAAGCTCTGTAATGTCCTAAGTGCTATGGTCTCTGATTTTGTTAGACCACCGGTACACGGCCATACATTGGCCACGGGCTCCTCACCGCGACTTTCGGAGGCTGGAAACGCGACAAAGGCCATTTAGGAAATTTATCAGCGTCGGCCCGGCTCGAAAAGTTGAGGTGGGTGGGACGAGTTCATTCTGCAAGACTGGGGCCGTGCGGTGGCGGTTTAAGACCTGTGTGCTGTGTGCTGTGTGCGCCGCCTCAAGCTGAATGCTATGTGACACGGTAAGTGCTCTGTACTATGTGCTATGTGGCATGAGGCATGCTTTGTACATCTCCCTCTGAGGTGGTTTATGGTGTGTAGGATTTTGTGAAGAGTGAGCGAGGCCAAAAACGTGATGGTGTGGTCTGTGTATTGTGCTTCTTGTCATCTGTTGTTTGTTTTCTGGCGCATAGGTGGGGGCAGTCTGGGCTGTCCACAGAATTCCGGTTCGCCAGGAACGGTGTTTAATTGCTTTTCGCAGGCACTTAATCTCAGCAATTTTGGCATGCCAACGCGGACGAGTACCCCTTTATACGAGTTCCCGAACCGCCCTTTATATAGTAACTTCTCTGTTCTTGCGGGAGCAAGAGTGGTGGTACTCTCCTTGTGGAGTCGTGTGCAGGTACCCGACTCCTATCTTTCCTTTCATATGTGTTTTGCAGGTATTTCTTGGTTGCTGCTGCTTGGTTCCAGTGCACATGGATCCTCCTTTCTGTTCTTTCCTCTCCCCCCATCCTCTCTTGGAATAAAGTAAAAGACATGTTTGCCGGGCAGGTGTATCGAGGGCAGGAAATTGATTGCTGCTGCTCTGCTTGTTTGAATTGGACGTAGATCGTTCCTTTTCTTTTCCTTTTCTTTCCTTCCCTGAAATCGAGGAAACGACATGATTGCCGCCTGGCTATGTCGAGGGAAGGAACGCGATTGCTGCTGCTCTACTTGTTCGAAGAGGGATATGAATCCGTTCCTTTTTTTCCCTGCTGGATCCTATCCCCTCGTTTCTTGTTCTTGGGGCAAAGTCAAAGACACGTTTGCTGGCTGGGTATGGTTTGAAGTCTAAATATGCATCGTTCCTTTTTTTTTTTTTAACCTTTTCAATCCTTTCCGGTCCTTTCTGGGATCGAGTAAAGAGACATAATTGCTGGGGATCGAGCACACATCCTTTCTTTTTTTCCTTCGCTCCTCCGTTTGCCTCATGTGAAATCCCTTTTGCCACATGTGAAATCAAGTCATTAGAGATCAAAGTGGTAGATCTTTGCTTGTAGCTAAATATGAACTAGTGCACCTGCAATGTAACAGCGATTTGTCAAGATAGAGTGATTCCTGACCAAATACCTCATGAATATATGCTCTCAAGTTGGCCACATTCATTACCCAGAAATAGTTCCAAGACACGATTGCCGGGTATGTTGAGCGCCAGGTACTTGATTGCTGCTGCTTGATCTAACGAGATACATATCCTTTCTTGTCTTTCCTCTCTCTCTCTCTCTCTCTCTCTCTCTCTCTCTCTCTCTCTCTCTCTCTCTCTCTGTGTGTGGGATAAAGTGAAGAGACAGTTCCAGCTCGGCGTTTTTTCTATTCTTTTGGCTGGTGCTGGCAGCCATTTGGGTCCGGCAGCTCTGTGTATCAGAAGTTTTTGGAATGAGTCATTTTGGATTCTCAGGTTTGCCCGGGCGGTGTACTTAAGGTTTAATGGTTGTGTATGTATGACGCAATTGGGGTTGCTGCGTGGTGGGGATGTATTTTTGTGTTAATAGGTTCGGGAGCATATAGATCTTAACGGTGGTTATCTGAAATCTGGCGTCCCTGGCGTGACAATCTGGTCAGATCTGGAGCTTGTAGCAAATGGGATGCAGATGTGCAGAAGTGAAATGGAGGTAGTTTTTGTCCTCCTGGAAATGAAGTTACTCATGTCTTGTGTTATCTGTCTTCTTCTTGTTTATCCGCCTGTTTTCTTGTTGTTCTGTACATCATCTCCTCTTTCTCTCTTGTCGCTTGCAAATTGACCTGCCCTCTCTCCTTGTTCTGCTTGCCCCTGGCTTCTAGCAAACGGGATGTAGATATGCACACGTGAAGTGCAGGTAGTTTTGTTCCGATTTGCTAACCATGAAGTTAACCATGGTTTGTGTACCTGTCTCCTTCTTTGTTTGTCAGCATGTCTTCCTGTTGTTCTGTACGCCATCTCCCCGTTCTCTACCGTTCCTTGCAAATTGAGCCCCCCCCCCCCTCCCCCAACCTCTCCTTGTTCTACTTGCCCGTGGCTTACCCTCACCTTTTCTCATCTCCTTCTCACCTCCCTCTGTCTGTTATCTGACCGACCTTTCTTGATTTCACTCCATGTTTGTGTACCTGTCTTCTTCTTGTTCTGTACATACTACATTATCTCCTCTTTCTCTGTTGTTGCTTGCAGTTTGACCTGCCTCTCTACTTGTTCTGATTGCCCCCTGGCTTGCCCTCACTTTTTCTCCTCCCCTTCTCCCCCTATCCCCGTTATCTCAATGGGCTTTCTTGAATTCCACTGCTTGTCTGTCTGTCTGATTTGTGGAGTCAATGTGGAGACTATTGTTCCACCAGTGCAGTGTGTTCCTCATGCGTACTTGTACCTGATATCCTTAGTGGAACTTGGCTGATAACCTGGCCAGGTACGTCTGAAATTGTCGTATTGTCAGGCTGGCCTACCTATCAATGCTGGCCTTCCCACATAACCCCCTCCGAACTCTCTCTCCCCTAAAGTTCTTTCTGTGTGCTGAATTTGCTGAAGTTATCATCCAACCTCTCCCCTTGTGTAGGACTGGCTGGCCTTTGCTGCGTTGCAGTGCGCCGAGTCCTTTCGGTTCTATGACATGCCAGGCGATTTTTGTTCATGGCAGTTTTGTCGGATCTGTGAATCCGTAAGTCGTAATGACAAAATTGTGCACATTGCAGTGTGCCGAGTCTTGGTTCTACGGCATGTGGTGCGAGTTTTGCTCACGACGGTTTTGTGTACTGTTGCTGCATTGCAGTGTGCAGAGTCTTTTTTTGTTCTATGACATGCGGTGCGAGTTTCGGTCATGATGGTTTAGCATACTGTTTTTGGACCTGTGCATCTGTAACCCGGAAAGACAAAATTGTGCAGAAATCCCTCACTGTGGTGCTGGACAGCATATGCGATCCGGTGAAATTTCTGTGCTGTTCTCATGGTCGATCCGTGAGAGGTGCAAAGTGTTGGGTCCACGGTGGATCTGTTTCGGTGGAGCTGCCGTTGTTCGAGTGGCTTAACATGTTTGCCGCATTCTGTGGGAAAGAAGAAAGAAGAGAAGAGATTTCTACTCCGTTCGTTTGACTTAGGGCATTTGCTCATTCGAATGCTTCAGATTCTGCACCTGAATGTTGTTGCAGTCAGATGCTTGCTTTCCAGTGGATGCATCTGGATGTAATTGCGGCCACATGTTTACTCATGAAAGCCTTGGCATGAGTGTCAATCAGATGCTTGCTTTCCAGTGCATGCATCTCGACGCAATTGCAGTCAGATGCTTGCTTTCCAGTTGGTGCCAGTATGTCAGGGCTGTAGAAACGGGCCCACGCGTCGTTTTCTCTGAGACTTTGATCTTTTCTTTCTCTCTCTCTTTTTTTGTTGATGCTCTGATCTTTTCTGCAACCAACTGGACCCTGTGAATCATTGTACTGAACAGCGATTGAAGATCTGTGGTCTCTTTTCTTTTTCAATTTTGAAGGAGGTACCGCCCACGTTCCTTCACTTGAATAGAACGCCTCCCGGCCATTATGGCTGCATCTTGACCGAAAAGGTGCCCCAAATGCAGCTATAATGACCACGTGCTCTGTTCGGATGAAGACGTTAGCACCACTTTTTTCCCATCTTATTTCGTTGGGATTTGTACTCGTGAGCTGACTCATCGATGACCAAGTACCTCTGCGTACCATTCGGCCACATGGGATGGGTAGGATCTGTGAGCTCTTCGGTTTCCTGTCTTTTCTCTGTCTCTGTCGATCATATGCGACGAGGATTTTTTTTCCCCTTCACCTCCCTCACAGTCTCACAATCCTTTTCTCTCGCCTTTTATTTGTGTATGATCGTTCTTGTCTTTTTGTTGGTGCATCCCCCCTTCCCTCCTTTTGCCCTTCTCCATGTATGCCTTTTCTGTTGCTGTTCTTTGGTCTTTTCCCCCTCAACCCCCCTCTTTTTCTTCGTCTCTTTTGAAGCCTTGACTCTGAGCATTACTGTATTCCCAGGATTTGATCCCTGGATCTCTTGATCATGATTGACACATTCTCTCTCTGGCTATGTGGACTGTTGTCCAGTTTTTATCAATAAAAAAACTCTTCCCTACTGCTGAAGGCAAAGTACATGTTTCATGATGCAGTTGTCAATGGTCAGCTGGGTCAAAAAACGCGGTCGGTGCTCCAATCCGGCTCTTGTCGGCATGAGACACAGCCTTCAACATATCTGAGGGGCCCTTTAAAAATTCAGGGCCCCACCGATACCATGATAAAATGCGTCCCTTCCCCCCTCCCCTCCCCACCCCGGCCTGGGCTGCTCAAATGGGCTGGCAGTAATCCAGTGCGGTGGCCCCTTGGCTGTCAAAACAGACGTGTCGGTTTTTTGGAAGGAAAGAGCAGAGGGTCTTCTGTGCCTATCTACCATGATGAGATTCTGGACTGCAGCCCAAACGTTCTTTCCTCGAGCGAAAGATTATAGGCAGCACCTCCAGTCTGGCCATGGCCTTATTTCGCCAGTTCTGGTAAGCCATATGCCCCTAGGGTGAAGTTCGGTCGCACGCTTTGATAACTGTAGGTGACCTTATGGCCGCCCTCAAAACCACATTCGTAAGCTGACAATTTTCCTGATAAGTAAGGCTGGATGAAGAAACAAATAACAAAGAAAGGCCAATTAAGATCAAAGAAAGTAGTAAACTAATGACCAAATTACACACAAATATGTGCAAGCTCCATAAACACACTTTGTTTGAACAAAGGAAGACAGTGCTTCTCTTCTCATAAGAATTAGGAGGACCAATAACAAGTCGGAGGATTAAGGTTCATAGGTGTTCCCAGCAAATAGCCCAGTTGTAAGAGAGAACTTTACAGCTCCCCTGGACTCTATTACAAAAAAGGAAGTATCTACGTCTAGATCTGCTGCGCCCTTCGCTGTGTGGACGCAAAGATTGTTGAGACTGCCAGTGTACCATCGACTACAGATCATCTGCCAGGAGGCATCTTCTCATATAGGAACACTTGGTTCCTCCGCCCGTCCCACGATTGCTTGTGTGGTTCACATTGTAGTCAAAGGTGGAGAGATTTTGGCCGTGTTATCTTCAGCTTAGGCAGCGTGCGTGTGAAGTCTTTCTCTCCGCCCGTCCCATGGAAATGTCCTGATCCCTGGCGCTTCCCCGGTGTCTACCTTTCCCATGCAGTATGGATGCCACCAGTCCCACAATTGCTTGCGTGGTTCACATTGTAGTCAAAATGGAGGGATTCTGTCCATGGTAAGCAGCCTGTGCGTGAAGTTATCCTCTCCGCTGGGCCCATGGAACTGGCTTGGCCCCCCGCTTTCCGGGAGTCTTCCCTTCTCATGCGGTACGCATAACACGGGTCCCATGATTGTTTGCATGGTCCACATTGCAGTCGAGGTGGAGAGATTCTGTCGACGTTATGGTCAGCGTAAGCAGTGCGTGCGTGGAGTCTGTCGCTCTGCCGTTCTCATGGAAACGCTCCGATCCCCGCAAGCAGTGCGTGTGCGGAGTCTGTCTCTCTGCCATTCCCATGGAAACGCTCCGATCCCCGCCGTGTCCCCGCCGCTTCCCTGCTGCTTCCCGGGTGGCTTCCTTTCCCATGCAGTATGCTTGCTTTAGTGTGGATCAAGCATGGATATTTACGGATTGCAAGTGCAGGCAACAACTTGCAGTGCTTTGCTACATTGTGAAATGCCATTGGACTTAAGTGCAAGTCGTGTGCGATGACAAAGTTCATGTTTCGTAAGTTGCATCTTGCCTGAAGGGTGGTTTACCGCAGCCGCTGACACGGAGTTAGCATGGCTTCTTCTTCATTTTTTGTCATGATCTCCCAACTACCGATGCGCTTTGCTACATTGTGAAATGCCATTGCACTTAAGTGCAAGTCGTGTGCGATGACAAAGTTCATGTTTCGTAAGTTGCATCTTGCCTCAAGGGTGGTTTACCGCAGCTGCTGACACGTAGTTAGCGTGGCTTCTTCTTCGTTTTTTGTCATGATCTCCCAACTACCGACGCAAGAGGTTCACAACATAATAAATCAATCCCCTGCCTACACTTTGCTATATCTATGGCCTCCTTTCCCTTGTGATGGGTTCTTCTGAGTCTATCCACCTTTTCCGTCACGATTCAAACTTGTGACCTGTTCAAGAACTGCTAGGTTGTGATTGTGTGCAGCAACAAAATTAGTGTTTCTTAAGATGGGTCTTGACTCAGGTGGTGCTCCCGACCAATAAGACCTGGAGCGACGGACGCTGGGGTAGGATCTCTGAATTCTCCTTGGTATGGTACCGTGTGTCTGTGGGTTTTGGGGTAGTAAGTGTGCATGGATTGCCCCTGGGCACTATTCCCATCATGTGTGTGTGTGTGTGTGTTTTCCCCTGTCAAAGATGGGTCTTGGCACAATGGTGTCTTGACATACCCTTTGCGAAGAAAAAAAAGAAGAAAAAACATACCCTTTGCTATAGCTATGGCCTCCTTTGCCCTGTGATGTGTTGTTCACAGTGTCCACGTTATTCCGTCAGGATTTGAGCTCATGACCTGTGCAAGAACGGCAACCAGTGTGTGCCATTCAGCAACATGGGATGGGTTCCCTGTGATGGATTCCAAAACAGCTTTGCGCTGCCGTCGTCACCTAAAAATAGTATGTATGGTTATTATCGTTGTACCTAGATGCCCAAATATAATGATCGCTGTACCTTAGACTGAAGGACGACCCAAATACCGCTATATATGGTTGTACTCCACACGCTTGCTTTGGGGAAGCCTAGACCGACGTGTGGTGGAGAGGGTTCCGGGCCTGGAAGTACGTTCTTAAAAATAGTATGTATGCCATTGTATGGTTATTCTCGCTGTACCTAGACTGCAAGATGCCCAAGTATAATGATCACTGTACCTTAGACTGAAGGACGACCCAAATACTGCTACACTCTTACTTTGCGGAAGCCTGGACTGACGTGTGGTGCAGAGGGTTCTGGGCCTGGAAGTACGTTCCCTGAAGTCACAGGCCGGGGAGGCTATCTCTTTAGTTAAGAATTGCGCCACATGTATCTGGACTTGAAAATGGACTGCGCCGACCGTTCTGCAAAGTCAAGTCTGAAGTGGCGGGAAGCTCATAACAACCACGCCCATTGTGGTATGTTGAGGCCTGCCCGCTATTTCCCGTTTGCTGGAGTTCTTACGTTCAAGAAGACAAGAAGGAATTCCACGAAGCAAGCATGTGGAGCACAAGCAATAATGATCGCATGTTCTATTCAGGGGAAGAGGCAGAAGTATATGCTTTTGCGCAGAAAAAAAAACCCATGGAGTTTCTGACTTCCCTGGATGTTCTGTCTGTCTGCCTGTCTTCGTTCCAGGTTTATGGGTCTCTGAAGCTTGCTATCCATGTGTTGGAGCTGAGGAACTCGTCCATTCGGATTGATGGCGGTTTCATTGGTGTTTCGACCATGGAAGTAAATCGGTTACAACTGGAGGTATGTGTGTTCGTCGTTTGGGTTCGTCCTCTTCTTTGACAGCTGAATCAGGGCTTGCTCGAACGAAAACCTGTTAAAAAAAAAGTAAAAATTTGGACCGTTTCTGGATTTATGCGTGTAATCCGTGCACAGGGGCCATGCCAATCTCTTTTCTTCTCTGTATTGTTCCAATTTGAACGGATGTGTCCCGAAGGACTACTCAATACTAAAACTTTCGGGGGGTTATTTGTGCAAAATTAAGGGCAGATTCAGTTAAAAAAGTCCCTGTTGGAGAACGGCAGTTGTGTAGGTCAGTAGAGTGTTTTTCCATTTTCGGAGGAGAGGACTCGTGCTAAAACTTTCCTGGGTGTATTTGTGCAAAATTGAGGGCAAATTCAGTCGAAAAATTTTCTCGTTGGCGAACTGCGGGTGTGTACGTCAGCAGAGTGTTTTCCATTTTTGGAGGCAATTTGGAGGAGAGGAGTTGAGGAGCCGGAAGGATTATCATTCGGTGCTGCCATACATTTGTTACAGAAAAGACAAAAAAAAACATTGGTTCTCCTTCTTCCTACTCTTCCCTCCCTATCCCATCTCACACTTTGGGCCTCGCTCCACCACTAACGAAGTGTGCAAAATGAGAAAGAATTTTCCGCAAGAACATGGGAAGATGCACCGCCATTTTTTGTCGTTGTGCACGTGGTGAGTAGTTGAGCGGCGCCCTTGGTCTGTGCATAGTGAGATCGGAGAGGTCTCTTCTGTGCCTGGGCCCCTTCCACGTGCTGTGAGTGAGCGCAGGTCTGTGTTTATTGTCATTTTGCTGCAAAGTCAGGTCACGCGGCAAGGGTGCTCTATCTGATTCATTCACGGGACCCAGTAGCGTGGCACTTCATGGCCTACTAAATTAGTCATTGGTTTGTCATTCTTTTTTCTTCGATAACAAACACTGTGGCAGTCGGTGTCTGATTCGAGTCTTCTATTGGGCTAGATTGGGCTCCCTACCCCGTGTTCGGGATTCGTGGACTTCGCAGCATTGCTGACGGTGGTTCACCCGGGCGTGCATCGGACGGTGCGGGGCCCACTAGCGTGGCACTTCATGCCGTAAATTAGTCATCGGTTTGTCATTCTTTTTTCTTTGGTGACAAACACTGTGGCAGTCGGAGTCTGACTCGAGTATTCGGCTGGGTTAGATTCTCTCTCCCCCCCCCCCCCTCTCCGTGTTCGTGATTCGTGGACCCTGCATTGCTGACGGTGGTTCACCCGGGTGTGCATCGGACGGTGATGGTGAGTTTGCGTAGTTGGGTTCCAGCAGCTTACTGCTGGCTGTGAAGAGGTGAACGCTCTAATTTCGTAATGGTGAGCAACAAAATATGAAAGCTATTTTTTTTGTTGATATATATATGCAGGTTCTCTTTTATTGTCTTGGCATCTTAGTTGGTTGCTTCCTGTTGTTCAGCCTGTGTGAGGGGGCGGTGCTTTTATGTGGGAATTGTCATCTGGGATTGTCTTTTATGTTTTTTGTCCCAGTAAGAATGGTTTACAAATGGGAATACCCACGTCTTGATGACGAATAAGGCCATCCGCTGTATATAGGTATGTAATCTGGGATTTTTCTTTTTTTGCAGACAAGAGTTTTGTCCTGGGTGGTCTTGTCCCGTCATTTGGCCTGTGAAGGAGGGGCGGTGCTGGCATGTGGGACTTGTCATCTAGGATCCGTTTTTGGTGCTAATGCTTGTTGCCCCCTGTTTTGTTGTATTTGGCTGTTCCCTTCCTCTGTTCTTTGCCTCTTTGCCCTTTGGCTGTGTGCAAGTGGGTCGATATGACACACGGAGGTGGGGGCAGCCGCCGCTCAACCTACATCCATGTGGGCGGCCTTGTACGCAAGAGGTTCTGAACAGGGGGAGTTGTAAGAAGGAAGATAAAAAAACGAATTATTTTTTTCTTCTTTTCTTCTGTTCTTTTCGCCTTTGCGCTCTGATATTCATGTGACGATATATATATATATATATATATATATATATATATATATATATATATATATATATATATATATAGGCGGCCAA